TACTCATTCATAATAGAGCCTGGCCATTTCCTCCATGAGAAATGTCACTGAAGCTTTTGAAATTCTGATCCCAATCGTACAAATAATTTCTAGTGATTACTGAGAGTTTCCAAAGAGTTGAACTAATTCAGAGGCGGAGTGGGGTCCGAGCAAGAACTTTTAAGTGGAAATTATTCTAAGGTGAGACGTGCAAAAGAAGTCATCGAGACGCCCCAAGGTGCAGATGATTTTGTGCACTGAACGATCGTGCGCTAAAGAGGAGCCCAGCAGGGAGAGTTTGGACGGGGTTGCTGGCCTTCTCAACCCACTAACGGACTTCCCATCCGTCTTCGAGTGGCAATGGTAGATTGGCCTAAGCGGCTGCAAGTTTACACATCTTGGACGTGAGGAGCTCTCCACCATTTAAGCAGTAGCGGAATGTCTCTCTGAGCAACCTAGCGACTTTGTGAGTATATGCCTTTCATTGGTGTGCTGCAATGAAATAATACCAAGTTCCGTTCTAGTTCTTCCTTTCTGGCTGGCTAAGTGAACGAGTGATGGACGGTCTGAGGATCCGAATTCTGAAGAGTCTTCTCCATAAACCTATCACTTATTTCGACAGCGAAGATACGCCTCCGGCCTTTTGTGTGGCCTCAATGCTACAAAATGCACCCGATGCCATGGCGGTGAGTACTAGTTTCTTTTAGGGGAAGAGTGCTACTTAAGTTGATTCGAATCCCAATGAAAAAGTCTCTGACCGTTTCGGCTCATCGAGACTTCTCGCAATATTTTGACGACCGTGCTGCTGTTCCTCTCACGAGAATCTACGGTTTCCAAGCCCAGTCCATTTCGCCAAGTGAGACTGACGGGGGCAAACAGAAGTCTTCTCTCCTTGGGAGAACCACTACTTCCATTGCACCGGGGTGGGTACATGGATGGATGAGAAAAGCCTTGGGCTGAACGTCAACTAGCCCTCAAAAAGCATCATTTAGACTGTACCGCCTTCAAGAAGCACTACTATCACTTCACCACCTACTTCGAGATACTTCAAGGTGTTTAGTCTTGGCGTTAGAGGGAAAAGGGGAGGCCATATCTGCTCTTGTGCAAAATGAGAATGTAAAGTGGCTGCTGACTTCGCGATTTCAATTGCACTATATGCCTTCCTCTTTCCTCCCCTGCCCAGCGGTTATTTGCTGAAGCTGGGAAAAAATTGGAGAATTCCTCAGGAAAAAATATTTGTAAAGTTGGGGAAGGTTCAGGAAGGTGACAGGTAGTATGGAGAATCGGAAATAGAGAAGGACGTCGTACAAGAAACCTTGAGGGGGTCGTATTCTGCGAAAATTTTTCCCCAACGACTGGACGTGCCCTGAAATGAACTGGCATGGTAGTGAAGTGCGTGCTGCGCCCCAAAAAGACCCGCCGAGGGGGAGCTCCATGCTTTTCCGTATTTCTGCTGTATACGCCGGAAAGCTCCTCGATTGCCCCTGGTTAAGAGCTCCATATCGCATAAAGTAAGCGCCTCTGCCCTGTGAGTTTTGCCTGTGTGGAAATCTCCAGAGAGTGATTCACCTAGCATTGTGTAACCACAGTTTCACCAGCCAGTAGAGAGTCTTATGGATCAAAATGGAGACTTTGCGTATATAACCTTCAACATCCAATTCAGTCACACTTTAACATGAATCTAACGATGACACAATATTCTCAAATCCTTTTTTATATGTATTTCCATTTTCTGCACTAACTATGAAGCTGTCCATTTGTGAGAGAAGTAAATAAAGTATTTGCTAAGGCACTGGATTATCGAATCGTGATCAATCTGAGCAACTTATTAGCGTGTGCCATCGGTGTCATTATAGCGATCACATTTTCGTGGTGGATGGGTCTTCTTGGAGCAGGTGATTCTTTTACGATTTCATTTGTGAAATTATTCGGGCAGTGTTAGATTGGTCCGAGAGAAAAGATCTGGGTACCCGATATGAAACCTCCAAAATAAACCACCCTCTTGCAAGTAATGTTAAGTATCGGCATGCTTAGTGTCATTTTCGGGATCACAGCCATAAAGAACCCTGTGCCGTACAAATTCATGCGCTAGATAACTTTTTCTGTTCATCATTTTCGCCTAGAACGCCAACTACTACTTTTGATTATCGCTCTCTATTCCTCTATTTTTTTCTACTTCACGAAAGCCGCACCTCGGTCTACTAGTGAAAATCGCAGGTTCACACAGAAGGACTTTCAACTTAGGTTCAAGGTTTCAGAACCCTTCGAGTGCACTGGCACTGGATTGGAGGAAGGGGCTGTCATTAATCGAGTTATCCTGAGGGTTGAGATTGTTCAGAGGAACGAGGACCTCAAATAAAGGTCTTGTCGCTGTAATGGAAAGGAAGCCTATAGCTGGTCTTGTCAGGGTGAACCCTGATAAGCTTTTGCTCAAATGGCAGATCACTTCACGCTGATAGCGCGCGGACGCTAGAGTAAAGTCGATTCCCTGAGAAAGGAATGGATCCTCCGGTTGCTTACCCCTCCGAGAAGTAGCCCTTCGTCTCTGCCGCGTTCGTCTGGCCTGAGTCTTTGTCGCGCGAAAATTCAGGAAATTCAGTGCTCAGTCTGGGACCTTTAGAAGCCTCGGGAAAGTCCAGCCTGCTTTGTGGTTCCGTCCTCCATACTCATGGCAGCGTTGTTCAATTTCGCATGACTCATTTTTCTCCTTCTAAGATCATATCACAAGGAACAGCGGTAGTCCGCTCTTTTCCCACAAGAAATGCCGGAAAATAACCGAAATTCGAAAAGGATGAGCATTATGTAGCCCCGCAAATGTTGCAGATGGGCGTTGTCGGAACCAAAAGAAAAAAAGTCTTCATTTCATTCAAGGCAGGGGAAACGAAGAAGTATTTATCTTCTGGTTTCGACCGCTACTATAAACTCCAAGTCGCTGAGCTGCGCTAGGCGTGGCTGCACCCTTGAACGTTTTGAGACGGTGCCAGTAAACACTGCGAATACAAGACGGTTTTTGCAATAAATAGGTGTTCTGCAGTCTGGTGCTAACCTCTGAATATATTCACTGATGGTTTAGAACGGCAAAGCTCTTCTTCTTATTGAACATTATTTTACAGCATTATCATGCTCTCTGCTCCTGTTAACCTTGCTCAATATCCGAGTCGTCTATAGATGTCACGAAAAGAAAGAAAAAGAGGATCACAGTTCCGAGGTGACTTTTTTCACCGATTTTTGCAGGAAAGCTTGCATCTTCCCATCAAGGTGTTTTTATCATTGTCTCTTTGAATATAGTTGGTATCGTCTCTATCAGTCGAGGCAGTGTCAGAAGGGTGGAATGAGCCCGCCTTCGACTGGCTTTTCTACCAATAATGGTTGGTTAATGAACGAATCAGAAAAAACAACCAGCGGTGGAAAGGCCGTGGGTGGGCTCGCTCTATCCCTCCTGAGACTGCCCTGACTGATTGCGACTATATCAAGTTCATCGGCACACTGAAAAATAGTATTGGAAAATTGCAAAACTTGTAAGATCGTCATGGCTACTCCTTGTCATTTATGACAATTTTAGCATTTTATGTTGCGCTTTGAGTCCGTTAGGCATATCTGCGTACTTCATTTGAGTAAGCGTAGAAAAGGGTACTTGTGGGATCCAAGACAACTACTATCTGGTCTTATGCTGAACAAAGGCATAGTCACAATTGTTCAAAAATGAAAATATCCCACCGAAAACGCAGCTATGGCCACATTCAAATGAAGTACGTAGCCAGGCCTACCACATATCGGTAGGACTCTCCTTGTTGAAGATATACTGCGAACGTCTGAGCACTTAAACAAGAACGCCCTTTTTGCTGATTTCATTCTTCAGTATAGCAAGGAGGGAGAGAGCCTCTGCGGCGAAAGTGCAATACTTCGAAGAAACCGACTTCCCTCGTATGACCAACTCGAAATGAAAGGGGAATTTGGTGTTACGTGCTCGTGCTAATCGCCTCATCTTACCCTTATTACTGTGACCACTCTTTCATCCACTGTAGGAACCTACTCTCTTTCACCACAGCGCGAATTACCTTTTGCTATTCGAACAGGGTTACACACCCACAAACAAGAAAGTATACACACCGTTGGGTTTTCATCTTGCTTTTTACGGAAGAAAGGTAGGAGCGTGGTTATTCGTAAACTTGCAGAGCGCCATTGAGATCATTGAGCAAGCACGATCTATCAAGCTGGCTGTGGTTGAAAAATACTTCTTGCGAAAGTACGCACAACAGTGTCGAGCGTCAACTCGATACAATTTCTGGGTAAGAGCTTGAGACCATCACTTTGAAGACAAACTGTACAATTACCTCCGAGAACGTTCTTTCTGTGTACCGGAGGTGGTCTCAGATGCAGTAGTTGTGCCACTTTGTTCGGTCAGAAGTGCGCGGAAACTTGCTGGCTGATAGTGGTGCCATATTTACACTGTCCCCACTGCCGCACGGTCACTCACACGTACAACCATAGTCGAACGCATTGATCGTCTCATCCCTCTCACATCTGGCTGTTCTTTACCGCTGAGTGCGTTCGCTGCGGGATTATGTGATCTCAAGGGCTCCACATTGCAGATAGCTCGGCCAAGGAGAGACGGACATCTATTATACCACTCAGCGGAGGCGGATGTGAGAAGAAGGCACCCGGAATCACTAACCATTTCCTGTTCCGATTTCCCGGAAAAAGGGGGGGGAAGAAAAAAAAAAAAAGTGGGCACGGGCTTTTTTTTTTAAACTGTAAACTGCGGCCCCACTCACCTTGCAAATGACAGGGAAGTTTCTCGAAGGTAAGTGCAGTTTTCTTGAGCCGTTGTTACTGCTTTTTCCGTACTATGTAATGTGGATTTTGCAGATAGGGCTCACCGAAGCGGTGAACTTTGCCACAACACAGTCTTTTGTGTTCTTCAGCGATTATGGCCTGTTACCTGCTGGGAACGTGGTTGATTTACCGAGGTTTTCACACTACGGAGACAGTTTTTTTGTGAGTGCCAAGTGCTTAACATCTTTTCGCTTCTTGAACAAAACAAACCCATAAACTAATCTATTAACTGACTAATCTAAGCTTCTATTTATCCTTCCCACTCACCTTCGGACGTGGCAAAAGGGTTTCTTTTCCGAGTAAGAGTTGACGGATTTCAATCAGTTCAGCGTATTTATGATGTTGAGTTGACAGACTTCATGAAGATGTGCATATCAACCTGAAAAGTTTTCGAGGCGCGAAATGGTTGAGTTATTACCTTAGCTATGTAGTGGAGAACTCGGCGAGATCGATGCCAGAAACTTCGCTGTAACTAGCATTTCCTTTTGCGTTGTTCTTAACACCCATGCGAAGAGCGCAGCAGTCTTCTGTAGTGCAGTAATATTGTGGCCATCACCTCGACTACACACCGATGCTTGTTCTTACACATTTATGCGCTTGATTACCTTTTTTGCTTCATAGCACCTTCTATCTTTTGAACATGACTATCCTGAGCACGCGTTCTTGTTTTGGCAGTAGTGCTGTACCATTCTTCATTCTGTCGCTAGCAACATCACATACAGTATCCGCAATATCCAAAATGCTCTCTCTCTCGCTCTTAAGAATCTCTTCCATGGAAGTACTGTAATATACAGCAGAGTATTATGCGGCTTCATGTCATTTCGTGCAAGGATTCGAACTCGAGTAACTGGGAAGTGTTGCTAACAATGTAGCGATGTTAAGGGGTTAGAGTTATTGCTCGTTCAAGGACATCAGTATCAGTGCTGAACCCAATTATCTTACACTCCTTGGCAATTCATCGTGCCCTTTAGCATTGAATGCCAACAAACCAAAGTTTCAATTCAAAAGAGTGTTCACTGCGTATCTATGGTAATGATAGTGTGTCTCCAAAGCAAGCTCGCAAGTGCACTTTCGCCTGACTGCAGCTGCGATATGTGCTCTCTACGAAACCTGCTAGCTGCGCACCTCATATCGAAAGTCAGCAGACTTGTCATCCGGTGCCAAGTGCTCATCTTCAACAGAGGGAGCTCGCCCAGGATGCTGGAGGCGGAAACGTCTTGGTTGCCACGTTGGTACCACCAACTGGAATGGTATAGGCAATGGAACCGTAAACAAAAATCCTATGCTGCTTCTGTAGCGATAAAATGGGCCGTGGGTCGTGTGGTGACGTAGTTGCCGCGATTAATGACGCCATCCAAGTGTCTGATTACGCAATCAGCCGGAAGGTATGGCGCCATCATACTGAAGAACAGGTTTGATTTCTTGGCTTTTACGATTCTACGGCAAAGAGACTAACACTGGATGAGACGAAGGACTACAAAATGATCAGAGACTGCGCAAATAAGACCGCTGTTCTCTGTGCCGCGCTTCCACTGGGCATGTTTCACCTCCTGGGGGCGCTGACAGTAATATCCGAATGCCCCTTGCGTCTTTGCCATTTCTAAACTGCGGGAGTTGAACAGCTTCTGCGGGCTTGGTTACCTCATGCGCACAAGGAATAGCTTGGCTCAGCTAATCGTGGACTGTGCCTTTGAATCCCATCTGAGCCAGTCGGAGAATAAGTGTCTCCATCGAAGTACGTGTTGCCTTGCTTCAGAGTCATGGATTGAAGGCAACATTCCAAGCAAAGAAAAATCTAACCTAATCTATCCATCAGAAGGATTCCAGACCTCGCACATTCGAGCAGCGCTTACGGGCGAAAAGTCATTGAGCCGAGGTTGTGTAAGAGTCGGCCTGGTATGCGTAGGCAGGCGCACGTCGCCCGAGAACCAGGAGGTTCCACCTAGGGGTCAAGATTTTTGTCTTAGCTCAGAATTCTTGCGATAAATCCCTTTATTCTAGTTTTTCTATATCAAGATTTTTGTCTTGCGATAAATCCCTTTATTCTAGTTTTTCTATATCGTATTAATATATCTATAAATCACAGCAAGGAATTTAGTGCGTTCCTCGGCGCTCAATTCTCCGGTTGGTCGATTATGTATTCGGCTCCATACTTCCCAGAAATTGTGAAAGCTTCCGGCTCAGCGTCTTCTTTATTCAAGCTTCTTTCATTGGAGACGAATGAGTTATGTAGCGGTACAGCGGAACCAGTGAGTTTTAGTCTCCTATTATAAAGCAGACAGAGTTTGCGGTGGTTTGGAGACATTACTCGCTAATCAATGCGAAACCTTGTATGTGTGATAATTTCACGAAAGCAGTTGGTCCAAGCACACATGGACTCCGAAAATATTGGTCGCGGCAGGCCAGTAAGCCTTTTGACGAAGTGCACCTCCCGTGAAGTGTATTATATGTTATGGAAATTTTCTACATGGCTCTATGGGCTTCTCCCCGTATCGAAAGAGCGCTCCATGTCTGAGCTTCACTCCCTCTTCCGAGGAATGGAAGCTTCCTACAAGAACCACCGTTCTAGTATTGTAAAGCCGGCGGTTGGTAGCAAGTAATGCTACAACAATGTCTCTCTATGGAAGTAACTGCAGAAAGGTATAACCAACGCCGGAGGTTCTATCCCGCCTTAACGTAGAACAACTAGCTTACTACATACAAAGTGGGGTTTTATTTTACGCTTTTATCAAACCCCTTTTAATGCTTCAGTGACAGTCCACGCGCTCAAGCAATTCGTGGGCGTCCTTCCTTGTAAAAGTAGTCTAGTCCCCAGCCCCTAACTGTAAGATCAGCCTTTTTTCGCGGCTTCATGGTCTTCCTGGTTGTTCCGCCCACAGAAACCCAAAAGCTACTTTTTGTCACTAGATCGTGGTTTACCCCGTATTTTTCACTTTCTTTTCACCGTTGAATGATATCAACCTTGGATGATGCGAAGGAACGGCTGCTGAGCGGGAGGTGGCAGGATATTGTTGACTGGCATATGGCAAGGTCAGGAAAACTCGACCAGAGACTGTCGGGCCTGTCGGGCCCTTAATCGGGGTGTTTTCCATGATTTCTTATTGCTTATTCTTCTCTAAAGGATCATTTAGTGACTATAGCTTCAAAACTGAACATCGCGATCCAGGCGATCGTGATGTTTATGCGGAGTTTAATCGTTAAGTAGGACACTTTCTCCCGCAGGTTTAAACATCATGAATCGCAGAAAAGGAATCGGTCCTACTGCTTAAGGTGATCAAAGGAGATGTAATGGTGGAGAGCATGGTGTTCTCCTATCCGAGTCGCCCGAATTTCCACGTCGCTAATGGCATCACCTTCAAAGCTCGTCGAGGAGAATCGGTTGCATTGGTTGGTCCATCAGGATCGGGGAAGAGTACGATAATCAATCTTCTTCAGCGGTTCTACGACACCGAAAAGGGTTCGATTGTGAGTATTTGATCGCAAATTTCATATCAATGGAGGTGCAGTTCTCTGTGCAACCTATTGTGAAATTTGCTGATATTTCCAGAGCGTAGATGGAAGAAATATTGTTGAAATCAACACGCAGCATCTTCGCAATAATGTAGCACTTGTTGGCCAGGAACCAGTACTTTTCAGAGGTATGATTGGTCATGGTTTCTTTGAAAACATGGGACTTCATGGGGACCTTCTCGCCATACTTGCAAGCGTAAGTATTGACTAATTTACGTAATTGGAGACAGTCTTCCATCTCCTCAAGAAACGCATCAAAAAGTTGATTGAATGAAAATTAGCCACGTAAAAGGCCATGGACTGTTCTGAAGTTAAAGGCTGAGCCCGCATTCAAATTTGATGAGTATGCGGCTCAAATACTTATAACAAGGTAGCAAGTAACCCCTTAGTGAAGAAAAATCAGAAAGAAATCATAGGAAAGGCTCTATATAGAACCCCTTGCTTAATTGAGGTTGTACGTGCTCAAGGCGAAGAGAAGGTGCGGTCGCACGAGTTCTCACTTGTTGATATCAGCTGTTTTCCTCTTATCCACCTCACTCTCACCAATTCAAGACGTTGGGAGAGAAGCAGCAGCGAAACAACCGCACCATCAGGTAACCATTAGAAATGAATGGTGGGCGGTGCCAATGATTGTAGGTTGGGTCAATGATAAGAACGACGGCATCGTGGCTCTCCTCACGCGTTTTTGCGCCGCGAAAATGGTGGAGTTGTTGCCTCAGCGGACCTGACTACCTGCTCACGAAGGGAGAGGAAAATCTCAACTGAACGCGGACGCTGCCTTTAAGTCATTTGGAACAATTTTCACGAGCTTCCATGTCAAGGCCGAAATAGCGATAATCCTTTGATTCTTGATGTCCTTGTCAAGGCACGGGAAAAAAGGAAATGAGTGGAATCTGTACACAAAGGGCTAGTATTCTAAGCCACCATAGCTGGCTGTCTGACTGTAGCTTCACATCGCTTTTCGCTGCCCATACAGAGGACGTGGATACGCAGTACCAGGGCGAAGATACCAAATGTTCCTCTATAAGCAGGAGCTGGCTCTCGCCCATCACCTTCATGTACACCAAAATATGAAGTCATCTCCAGTCGCAGCCTGACTGGAGAAGACCTTTGAATGCTCATGTCACCTCCAAACAGGCTGCGGAAACTCTAAGTATGCGAGTCACCCATGGATAGCTACCTGGAGACCAGTACTCTCGATCTGGATGACCTCCAACATCGAGCATCTTCCGACAACGTCGCCACGGTCTAGGACATCATCTTCACCGCAGTCCGTTCCAAAGTGCGGCGGTTGATGGTATGGAGCGCGGACGTAAACAGCGAATGGAAAGACCGATATTCTTCTCCGGGACCCTGGATACTGAAGGTGAGCGCTGGCGGTTACATTGGGCAACTCGTGAAGAATATCCTCCTCACATGGTCGCCCGTACCTTCTTGGAAACTTTGTACTGCTACAGCATTGAGTGCCACCACATGAAATCGAAGGGCGTTGGAGAAACACTCGCCTACTTGGAATGGAAGGGGCTGTCTGAAGACGACTGCGAATATCTAAGTTTGTCTGTCCTAACCATACTCAATTATCCGTCGAGCGAGTTCACAGGGTGGTCTACGGTGGCGGAGAAATCGATCTACTATCTCGCTGATCTCAGGCACCACATCGTGGTCGCGTGCCAGAATCTCTCGATGGCGCTCGTCCAGAAGGCTGTGGCGGAGTGTCGTGATAGTATTTGATATGCTCTTTAATATGGTGGTAAAATGTCCGATCAGAATTTAATAAAGTGTAACTTATAGCGCCTCGAAAGTCAATGAAGAAAAGTGACTTTTTTTTGCCCCCCCCCTGTATATCC